GGGGGGGCATGAACTGCACATACAGTTGGGGTTTATAGTAATTCCGCCTTGAGAGGGGCCAGGAATGAAATTATTAACTAGTTCCTCTTTAAATTCTTAGATACAGTTGGGGTTTATAGCAACCCAGCCTTGAGAGGGCCAGGGATGAAATTATTAACTAGTTCCTGTTTAAATTCTTAGACGGTGCTCCTGCCACTTTGGTCAGCTTAATTGGGCACAAGCAGTACAGACGTTGTGCTAGGGATTTGTATTATTTCCTTCAGGTAAGACCTCTCCGTGAGAACATTGGTTTCCTATTACATGTTTTCTGCTAAACTAACAACAATTGTCTTGTAATGTGCAGTCTACTATCTGTTTAAAGCAGCTTACATATGGTGTCCTCGAACTTGTACTTATATCAATCTTCCCTGAACTGAGGGATCTTGTGAAGGATATCCATGAGAAGGCACATACTCAACCTGTATAGGCTGCCTCTCTTTTTTCTCAGTAACTACGTCAATGAGCTCTTTTAACTCGACTCTGCCTATAGATCCAAAATTCTCATGAAAAGCTGGGAAGGAGAGCGAATCTTAGGCCCAGGGGGATGGAAACTTAGTGACTTAATTTTGTCATCTTCAAATTTTTTTTCATCTAGGGTCTTGAGGTGCCGGAAATTCTTTATGGAATGCCAAGGTAGCAGCAAATGCTCTACTTTTGCTTCTCATTGTACAAAGTGTGCATTAAAATTTGTATAGTTATCAGTTTTGGTGTGCAGTCTTGTATATTCATTTGAAACTACCACTTCATGATATAACTCGTCAGACTGATGATTAAATGCACTTTTATGATGAATCCAATTTTGCTCTTCCCATTGAGAGTTCATTCTACCTCCCTAGGTTTGCGTACACTTTACCCTCTCTGGACCTCACTTGTGGGATTACACTAGGTGTTGTGGTGTTGTCATTGATAGTTCGTGAAGTTTTTTTTTTTTCTATGTATGTACTGTTGATTAAAAACATGAAGACTATCATCAAGCCATGCTCAGTGTAGATATGTACACTTGCAATTAATTTTGAAGTGACTTTTATCATTGAGTTTTTAAGTGTAAAAACTTTTATGTGTGGAATATATAATATAAAATACTTTTACATGTCACTTAATAAACAAAAAAGATGTCACTGTTATTATGAAGCATGGATTGGTAAATGGTTAAGGGCCTATTATAATGAAATTGATCTGTTACATTCCAACGTTAAACCCAAAAGTATAATGACTCAATATGTCTTGCATTAAAAAAGTTACTTTGTATAGTTCACTAATTCTTCAATCTTTTCATGTATTGCAGACACTATTTTTAGCTGTTTTCCTTTTTATTCTATGTGGTCCTGTCCGACCTTCAAAATTTTGTTTCAAAAAAATAAGGCACTATCAACTTCTTGTACAACTTTTTTTTTCCTTAAATCTTCTTTTGGGAAAATTCTCCATCTTCACACTCATCTTGGTAAATTAATTTTGCATCTTATCTTCATTCTTCATTGCTATGTGGTAACTTAATAAGGCAACTCTGGATTTTGAATGTTTTGAAGAGGACATTATTGCACTAGTAAATTTCTCAAAAAGTTACTTCCTTTTTCGCGTATGCTAAACGGAAAAGGCTAAAAAAATACCCTATAACAAATGGAAATAACTCATAAATACACTCCATCTGCCCAAATCAGTAGAATTGTACAAACTGCAATTGATATGATGGAAAACTCCTTATTGAAGATAACAAAAGAGCAATTTTCTACAAGATTTTTTGTCCCTCAATCACTAATGAACTGGTAATTCTCTGCTTCTGTTCATCATTTTAGAAGCAATGTTACATTTTCTGCTTTAATTTGAACATACTTGATGTTTTTCTTCTTTCTGATGGAGTAGTTGATGTTTAATTTGTAGAGAATCCCAGCCCATTTTCTTAGGCATATATCAGAAGAATCGCCTGATAAAGCCACCCTTAAGTGTCTTTCTGGAGGCACTTGGAATGTGAAACTACAGTGTGATGAAGATGGTTTGCTTATACATAAGGGTTGGAAGAAATTTCAGAAAAATAATCAACTAGAAAATGGGGAATATCTCGTGTTTAGGTACAATGGCGCTCTGCAATTCACAATAAGAATTTTCTGCAAGAATGGACTGGAGAGACAAGTGAAGTCAACAAACATGGTTAAAAATCAACAAGCTTCAATAGATGGAGGCAGCAAGCGTAAAAGGCCAGAAAAATACCCTTGCACCTCAAAATTCCTTAAACAGACATGTGCTAACGGTGAAAATGACACAGGTATGATGATTTAATCATACATTTCCAATTCTTCTAGCTGTTGTTGAAAGTTGGCATAAAATGGAGTAACAGTGATCAAATTTAGACTTTCAGCACCCGATTATTCCCTTGCAGAAGACGTATTTTAACATGTAATATACTATGTTGTGTTTCCTTAGAACATGAAACTCCAAGAAAAAGAGCTGCACTTGAGAAAGAAGAGGACCTTCTCACTCCAAATATTCCTCAATTTGTGAAAGGCTACAATGTGAAAAAGTCTTGTTTCTTGAAAACAAGTTTATGTGACCGGTAAGATATGAAATGTGTAAAATTTATGTAAACCAAATAATTAATACTTATAATGCAGTATGTTCCAAGATACTTGTGTGAACAACTTTCGACATCAGAAAATAAGACAACAGCAGTCCTCCGTAATTCAGAAGGAAAAGGGTGGAAAGCGAATTGTATAACACAAAAAGGATATCATGCTTTCTGTGGAGGATGGAAACAGTTTGTGAGTGATAACAAGCTTAAGGAAGGACAGGTCTGTGTTTTTCAGCTTGTCAATGCAAATGAACTAAAGGTTTCTGTTTTCAACGATCCTTCGGAATCTCTGTTGAAACTTGCTGCACAAAGATGATAAATCTTAGTTTTGAACTGCTACAATTTGATGTCATTATGTTGGAATCTGAACTCTGTAGCTGCTTAACATGAACAACCTTGTTTTCCTTCATTTGTTTTTTTCTAGTTGTTGTTCCTTTATATGTTCACATGGTTATAGCCACATCAATGGTAGGTTCACATGAAATGTATGTTCATGTTGATGATTTCTGGTGTGAAGAAGACTGCTGAAATATTTTTTGTGTGAACAAGGTTGGTAAGGTGTTTCTGGTGTGAAGAAGATTGGTAAAATGATTTTTAGTGTGAATTTTGGCTTCATCATTCTGTAGGCTATTTGTAAACGTGACAGAAAACGATAAAATTAGTGATGGTAAAAATTGTGTTGAAAGTGTGAACTTTTGTATGGAGCCAAAAGAGAGTTCACCTTAAGTCATGTGAACTTTTGCAAGGAGCCTAAAGACTTTTTTTTATGCTTGCAACAAAAAAAATAAGGGAGAATGTGCAAATATACCTTTTTCGTCAGACATCAATTTTTATATTATACTATGAAAAATAAAATAAAATTGCAAAATATTGAAATTGATATTTTCGAGTACTTAAAAATATCAGAACGCCAAAAACTGCAATGCACTATGAGAACATCTTAAGATTCTTATAATCTTTCCTTCTCTTATATACGCTTATGAGTAGAGTTGTCAATACGGGTTGACACATTCCATTCGGGATAATTCATACCGACTTTGAAATTTGATGGGTCAGGCCGGATTAGTCCATTTTTTGTGTAGGCCAAAAAATGGTCGCCCCAGCCCATAAGTACATGGGCTACAGGCTTTGCCGGGCCAACCCTCTTTTCTTAAAATTATATTTTTTAATATTATCATAAATATCGACAAGACAATATTACATGGTGTTAGTATTACTACTTGTTAATCAAATACACAAATAAAATTATTTTTATAATATTTATTAAGTTAGATTTCAAGTAAAAGTATAAATAGCTAAATAGAAATATTAACCTAATTGTTTTCCAATGATCATAATAAAACACGAAAACTATGACAATATTCTATAGGCTATGGCCTATGTAGTGATTCCCTAAAAATTTTAGGGAATTTTTATTTTATGTAGTACATATTTTATAAACATAATTTGTAATTAAATTGTAATATTTCAAACTTTAAACATATTTTTGAGTTTAGACTCTTATTATTTTTAATACCCTATTTTATTTTTATTTTTTAATTAATTTTTATTTGGCCCACGGGCCGGCCCTATCCATATTTCTCAAGTCCCACAAATCAGCAGGCTTATTCAGGTTGGATTAAAAAGCCCTTTTCTTAAATGGGCTAAAAATATTGTAGCCCAGCCCTATCAAATCACGAGTTAGGTCAAGCCGGCCCAACGGGCCTAACCCATACTGACGGCTCTACTTATGAGTAATGACACTCCCTCAACATTAAAGCTGTTTATAGGGTTTAAGTTGTGCGGCGAATTCTTCCATTCTCTTAGTTTGACGATAACAGTGAATATGGAAAAGGGTTTCTTCAAGGTTTTCAATCCTGAAACCAGTGCAAAACGAATGGTAAGTACACTTTCTCCTCATAGTATTAGATTTTTGGGACTTTATTTCTTGATTTTTTTTCTTCTTCTTTTGGAAATGTGGGCAACAGATATGTAAATGTGAAGGTCTTGGTGAAATTTAGATCTGCAAAACTTAGAAATCATGATCTTTTACAATTGTTTAAAGTTAATTTTCCCTTTCATTAATTCATTTTCTATGTGGTCTTTTATAAGTATTTGATTTATGATTTTTGCTTGACTCAATTTTTTAATTTTTTTTAAGCAACACTTTTTGAAGATTGGGCTATGAATAAGGGGAGGAAAATTTAAAAGATAAGAGATGTTTTTGTGTGATGCAAGTAATTATTATATTAGTACTTATATATGTTGAATTTTCTAATTTTATACTGGCATTATGTATAGTTAATTATTCAATCAATTGATGTCATAAAATTGTATATATCATTTCCAAATGATCATATTATGTGTGTTGATAGTAGTAACTTTGCAATAAAACTAAGAGAATGCCTTAGATTCTATTTTGTAGTTTCCCAAATACCCACATTCTTGAATATTTCCAACATCAAAAGTCCAAACTTTGAGTTTATTTAAAATATTTTTTCTTCCGATATTAGTTATTTTTATGATATAATCAGTCGATTTAAAGAAATTAATGTTCTTTTTACCTTTTGTTCAAAAATAATTTTATTCACAGAAAATTCCCACAGGTCATACAAACTACAAGAATGGAAAGTTACCTAGGAATGTTTTTCTTAGGGATCGGTTTAATAATATATGGCCTATGGGAGTGACCAGAATTGGAAGAGATTTGTATTTTCAATATGGATGGGAGAAATTTATTGAGGACAACACTCTAGAGTTTGGAGACTTTATAATATTTGATTATGATGGAAATGAAACATTTGACTTCAAATTACTTGGATTAACTGGATGTGTAAAAGAAGGAGCTAAATGTGAAAAGAAAGAGAAAGTGAATGTTGAACATCGAAAGAGTGTAGAGCTAAAAGAAAAGAATAGGACTAGAGATACTAATGATAGTTCATTTGATGATGATAATACTGATAATTACATGATAGAAGAAGAAGATAACGATAAAGTAGAGGTGGAAAAGGAAGAGAAAGAAGATGATGATGAGGAGGGGGCGGAGAAAGAAATTGAGGAGAAAGTGGAGGAGGGCAAAAATGATGAAACTGAGGAGGAAGTGGAGGAGGGGAAGGAGGATGAAACTGAGGAGGAAGAAGATGAAGAAGAGAATGGAACGACTAACACATTCAAGAAAAAGACGTCAGGTTCAAAAGGTACATACAATTATTAAATATTTTGTTCTACTCATCTTATTCATTTTATATGTAATTCAATTTTTTTATTGTTAGTATATTGCTGCAAAAATGACGTATTTGTATATTTGGACATGATTTTATTGTCTTATAGATGTCATGAAAAGTTTGAGACGGTAAGTTCTAAAGGATTTAATATAGGTTTGGTTGTTTGGTTCATTGACAAAACTAGCCTAGGAGCACATTTTGTTAGTTTTTATTGACTATCGAAGAATAATATATTCAAATGTCATTTTGTAACACTTTTGGTATAATGCCGAAAGTTTTTTTTTCCTTCATAAAGTTCATGTTCAATAAAGTATCACCACGTCAAATGAAACGAATGGAGTATTTGTGAGTATTCATGAGATTTCTATTTGTGAATCTGATCCTAACTTTTTTGATTTAGCTGGACGTCGAAAAGCCATTACTTGCAAGGTCAGGAATACACTTGACCGATATGGTACAGATATATTCAAAAGTGGACGCGCAACTCAGCCAAAAAATCCTTACTTTGTAGCAAAGATACTACCAAAAAGGAGAAATCAACTGGTAACTAAAGCCTATAATTATATATTGATCTTGAGAATGAATTTATGCAACATTCTAATTTAACAAAGTCTTTGTTCCTGATTATAGTATGTTCCAATTGATGTGGTGAGAGACTACAAACTTGAACTCCCTCCAAGTATGACTATTCGCGACTCTGCTGGCAGAGAATTTGAGACAAGAGTCAATAATTGGAAAGACGGCAGAATATGGCTGATGGGCGGATGGTGCAGTATATGTAGGTGGAATCTTGTGGAGGAAAATGACAGGTGTATCTGTGAATTTGTGAGAGGAAAATGTGGTAAAATCTTGTTCTTACAAGTTCAAGTTCTCCGTGAAGGATCAAATTTACCATAGCATTTTAATTTTTATGGCCTTAAGTATTATTGTATGTTGACAAATTTTGAAGACTATAAATATTATTGTTTGTTGATGAATTTTCAAGACTATAATTATTGTTGTTTGTTGATGAAAAAATGAAGATTGTTTTAGTAAGTATTATTGTTCTTATAAAAGAATTGATGAAATTTTTATTTGATCTTACTCATCATACCATACTAAAAGTGGGAGCTCCAAAACTAAAGTTTTAGTTTGATCTTATTGTTCTGCTATTTAGTTTGTTCGCTAAATTATATTAAGTGATTATGGTGAAATGATTGAGGTTAGGACCTGTATTAAAGTCTGTTTCTCATGTTTATTGAATTGCTATAAACATAATTAGCATATTTTTTTATTTAGGGAAACTTTCAAAGTAGCAAATATTACGCTTTAAATAGGACTCTATTGCTATAATTTGCTTAATTATGAATAATAGCAAAATATTAAGGGCGGAACGATACATACTTTTTTTTTCTATCCTATCAATTACTACATTGTTTCTTCTTTTTTTAAAGCATACATTCTTCTCTTCTTTCTTTTTTTCTTCATATTTTTGTCTCTTTTGGCATATTGCTTTATATGATTTTTCTTTAATATAATTAAATCCATTTAGATACAAACGTAATGATAATATTTGGTAATATGATTATAATTCATGATATAATTTTTATGTTATTTTCATTTAATTCTAAAACATTATGCATGATAATATTGTTATTTTATAAGAAATTACTGATAAATTTAATTAAGGATATTTTAGTAAATTTATAAATTACAATACAATACAGTACGATACATTCAAACTCAAACAATTACATTTTATTAAACAACAACAAACAATACAACCTAGTCAAACATTGTATCTACAATACAATACAATATAATATTGTACATTATGAAACAATGAGTAACAAAGTGTAAAAAAATTGGGACAATGCTAACTTATTAAAGCCATGTATAAGAGAGAGAGAGAGAGGAGAGGCAAGAGAGAGGGGAAATGTTTGCTATAAAAATAATATATTGTTCTTTTTTTATAATATTTTTAAGCTATAGCCTATTTTTCATAAATAAATTGTTAATTTTGACTAGTTTCATCATTTTTTTTGGTTTATGGTTAACTAGTAAAATTACCCGTGCTTCGCACAAAAATTTATATCATGAAATTTATAAAATAATACTTATAACCTATCAGTCATTAAAACTAAACGGTTATATTATCTTACATACACGATTGCGTAGTAACAAACATTAATAATGTAAAGGAAAATGAAAATTATTACATCTTATCATTTATCCTTAATAACATAAGTATAAATTAATGACTGTAAAAATACATACCAGGATCTGTAACATAAGCAATAATGTCAGTGAGCCACTCAACATAAGCAAAATACACAAATATTTAATTGTGAAGAAGAAGAAGAAGAAGA